AACTAAAAAGCGATTATCAGGTGAAATGTGACCTCCAGGTCAATCACTACAAAGACTAGATCGTATTAGGTGCTTTAAAAAAAAATTTGTCCTCTTGTTCATGTCCTAGGCCTACAAGCTAAAAACGTCAACAAACATGAGGAGTGAAGAATTCGTTTTGTAATTATTCTGTTGGGGGACGGGGATATTGGGACTAGGACTCTCCGCTCTTTTGAGCCTACCGTTGTCCTCGGTTGGTCATCGTTCATAATTGTGCCGATGAGCACATGTATAAACAAAATGGTGAAGTAATTTCCGTCACGAAAACCGATTTTTCGAAAAATCAAAAATGCAGTTGCAACGCCAGCAGGCTGTCTGGTACTCATTAAAAAAAACGGTTTTAAAAAATCGATTATTTTGTGTTTATCAGTAGAAACACACCCTATGAATGAAATTTTGGCACAGACCATTCTGGTATGTCTGGAGCAATCGAACAAGTAGTGGTCATGTTACAATTAATTGGTGAAACAATAACATGCAGTGTGCTTAGGGTAGAATTACAGAAAACCGCAATATGGTTTCAAAAACAATGATCACTGTTAACATATAAATGGCTAGGAAAGGTGGTGTGATTGTTTAAAAATATAGTTTTTATACTCATTAGAGCATTTTCTGTGGCTTTTGAATTTACATAATTGTTTGTGAGCCTTAAGCTAGTCTAGAAATTATAGCGTGTCTCACATGCCTAATCTAGCTGCAGATATGCAGGGGCCTAGGCCTAAACTTCCCTTAAAAGTCTTAATATTTGTGGCCAGACTATCATTTGGAGCATTAGCAAATCATTATGAAACTATTCCTAAGTTCAATCTCCAGACAATTTGGAATATTACTGGTGTTCCAACCAACATTATTCAATACCAATGATGCACACAATACTTTCACAATGATTTATGCATTAATGTATGTTTTTATTTACCTCAATTAGAATCTGGTAGAATGTGTTTGCAAAAGATAATCCAGCAATAAGACCTTCAATTGCTATTGTGGCAAACACTATCCAAATTGACGGCACATAGTGATACATTGCTACAGTCAACAGGAACCCAAAAACCGAACACTAGAGAAAAAAAATCACATTAACTCATTATATAGAATGTAACATTAACCAATCACAGCAAAGCAATATTATCTAAATTAATAGTTACAATTTTGATGTGTGTTTGCGTTGGGAAAATATCATAGGAGTGATGTTTTGCCCTAACTGAAGTGTTATTGCACTGAATCCTCAGTGCATTCTCAACTACTTGCGAAAAAATTTGCAAGTGATTTGGGTGTGAATTGAACCCACGACCTCCAGATAATTAGCCTGGTGTCAAAACATCACACCTATGGTATTTTTCTGAAGCAAACACACAACAAATTAGCATTGTTGATACCCGCTGCCACTTGGGGATCGGATTCAACACTAGTCACTAAGAGCAAGCTCAATGATCTAGTGGTTATGACACCAGGCTAGTTATCTGGAGGTTATGGGTTCGATTCCCACCCAAACCACTTGCACTGATTCAGTACGATAACACATCAGGTAGGGAAAAACAACACTCATATTATAAGTTACAATATGAGGCATGCTGTGGCACAATGGCTAAGTTGTAGCAAAAATTGAAATTCAAGTTATTGGTATTTTCAGATACCTGAGTATATGATCTTTAAAATGAGGAGTCATTCATTCAAATTAGTTATTGGAAAGTGAAAGTACAGTACTTTTAGAGTCAAGATAAACAGGATTTTGAGTAATTGCCTTTCAAAATTATTTGTGCATACATTGTTTAATAGAATGAACTATCAAAATAACGTTAAATAAACAATTTGCTGACCACTTCCAGAACTACTACTTTGGGGCATGATTAATAAGACATTGAACGGTTGATCTATAGTGAAAAACAAATTTTGATTTTTAGGCAATTTTTTTAGCTCCCATATTTTATAGCTCATTTACTCAATACTGGCCTTTGCGACAACTTAACCATTTCACCACGACATGCCTCATATATTCACATAGACAAAATTACAAACAAACAGGCACCCATTTATATTAGGATAAAGAAAATTAAAAATACATTATACCCATGAAAATTGAAAAATGTTAATGCCTACTCACTTGCAAGACAGGGAACAGCCACAGTTGCTTGATAGAAAACAGAGCAATTGATGACCTTGATATAAACACACCAACCTGGTACACCAACTGATACCTGTTAAATAACATTATTAATATCAATTGAATTGGTGATTAAGAGAGCTGTCTATTTGTACAGCTAATAAATCATAAAGTACTCTACACTAATAGTAGTATGTTTTGGAAGTTGGAAATAACAACAATAATACTAATAACTATAAAAATAATATAATTTAGCTGTAGGCAAATACTAATTGAATTCCATAGTGGCTTCATATCGTCATCAGTGGATCCAACATACAACATGAGACCATAACTACCATTTGGACCCTAGAGCAGAACCATGAAAGGCATTGGTAATAAAATCAAGTCTCCCTTACCATCGGTATTGGTCATCATGGTTTAACCAAGATAAAGCAGGAAAATATAAAAGCTCAAACTGTGGAGAAGAATAACCAAACATCATTATTAAATTTATTTTAATTAGGAAGTATTAACTTAATATGTGAAGGAAAGAAACCAACACCTCATCATCAAAATTTAATACAAAATTAGAAAAGTGAATGATATAAAATTGGCAGAAAATTGACAGTGTTTCCAGCAAATTAAATTAATAACATCGACTATATGAGGTTAGCACTGCTTCACAGGTTGGTCTGTATAGTTGGCTGCCGTATGGGCTCAAGATACTGAATTTTTCAACAAGCATTAGAGGATTTACTACAGGTCCAAATTAAATTATCAAACAAATTAATTGAGATAACATTATAAATGATATGAGGTACTGTATATCCTTAGACTCTACTTCAAAAAATTCAAAATTAATAATGTATACTTACCAAGCCCTGATTAACCAAATACTCAGCCAGATATACAGTTGCCAGTGGTATCATGTATTTGAATAACAATGGCTGAGGAAATTAAAAACAAAAATAATGTCCAGTTATAAAATATTAATCACAACAAAATGAAATACATACACACCATCACTGGACTATACTAATGTACATACTAACCATCTATTTGTAAGCTTTGAACAATTACCTTAACAGCTCGCCGTTTTTCTTTTGAAGTAAGTCGACAAGACTTTGTGATCTTCTCAACAACAGGTTCACTAGATCCACATTCTGGCTGTTTGGACTGTGGAGAATTTATACTGAAATCTACCTCAGGTTCATTCAGTCCATCATCTAAAAGATTTGATTGTGATGAAATGACACTGTTGTCTAACAAAGACCCATTCCTTCCATATTCTGGAAGAACGGATTGTGGTGAAACTGTATTGTCTCCTAAAGTTTTATTCTGTTCAACGCCTGGTAGATGTGACTGTGTTTGGTTGACACTCTTGTCTGCAGAGGAATCATTTAATCTCTTTTTGGATTGACTGGATTTCTTGCTTGGTCTCTTTGTGAGCAGGAAAAAGTATCTAAGAAAAAAACAAATACAGTAAACTAATATAAACACAATTATAATTCTATATTTTGATCTATGGCGAAACAATTTTAATTAATGATGCACTTACACAATAAAATGAATGGCCGGAACAACTAAGACAATCAAGATGGATTCACGAGGCGAAAAACCTAACACAGAAGTGAGTAAAACATACGATAGCGAGAACAATACTCCAGACGCCCCTGTCCCAGATGAGTATCCAATCATGACACTCCTAATGCAAAAAAAATAAGCAAATATTATTGATATTGTGTTCTCAATTTATGCTATTAACTTAATATACAGTTAAAGTTGCCTAAGTCGAATCCAAAATGCCCTTGAGAACTTGTTCGACTTAGATAAAATTCGACTTACAGATTGTTAATTAACTGAAAATACAACAATTTGGCATGTAAAATAAGTTTGACTTAGAAATTATTCGAGTTAGGCAAAGTCGACTTTAGGCAAGTTTAACTGTATTAATGAATAATCATATATTTATCATTCTACCGTATATCAAAATTAGCTAGACAAAAAGACTAGCCGATTTAGAGGTATTGCAGAAATTAAATAATGAATGATGTTTGATTGGATAGAGAAACGACAGAATAATTGGCCCAGTAGAAAGAGATGGATCACATATATTTTTTAAGGACAATTTGAAGGTAAATGAGGAAGAAATGTAATGCTAGATTATCTAAAGAGAGACAGCTCAGCCAACAATGGACAATCACAAGACCAGGAAGGATCGTGATAGTGATCATGAAAGAATATCTGTCTACGGCAGAATAGGAATGAAGTTGTGACAAAATTACCTTCGCTAACATTTGTGGCAAAGACAAGCCAAACCAGCCACTCGCCAAACATGCTGGAATGTCAATTTTATTGCACTTAAAAAACCTTTATATATCTATACATCATGTTACAATGTTATTTTTCCCATTTTCAACGTTAAAACAACAGTTTTTAATGATTTGGTGATGGTTTCTGCTTGAGAAATGTCTGGAATTATAAACTTTGAAGGCTGATTTCTCAAATCTTGTTCTTTAAAAAGTTGTATGTTTAAACACTTCTAACTCCTTAAGGAAACGTCGGATTTAAATGATTCTTTTACTATGTATTAATAACTAAAAATCGATTTTTGCGATGAGTGACTGGTTTGGCTTGTCTTTGCCACATTTGTATTCTATGAATTTTCTATGTGTAGAAACATTTATTATTTGAAAGAACAATGTCCTGATGATCGTCGGATCACTTACTTGTCAAAATATGAGCTGAGGCTCAAGAAGAAAAATTCCCCAAGACCACTACCAGCACTTGCACACACAACACCTATATAATAAAAAATAATGACCGTAATATACGTTATTTTGATGTGTGTTTGAATCAGGAAAATATCATTGGAGTGTGTTTTGCCCTATCTGACATGTTATCATACCGAATACTAAGTACGTCCCCAAATACTAGCGAAGTGATTCAGGTGGAAATCGAACCCACAACCTCCAGATAATTAGCCAGGTGTAATAACCACTAGACCACCGAGCTTGCACTTAGTGACTAGTGTTGAATCCGATCCCCAAGTAGTAGTGGGTACAGGAAAACATCATAGGAGTAATAATTGTAATTATAAGAATGATAATGGTGGAACTTAAAATATGTCATGCTTAGTAAACACGAGAAACTTTAGGCCTACTTACCGAGGAGACTGATTGGTAACATCTTGGAAAATGAAACAATTAGTAGACTGGCTGCAGCTAAGCCAATACTTAAAACAACCATCGGACTATAAATTGAATAAAAAGACACAGAAATGATGAAATTGGAATGAAATAGAAAAACAATGACAGGAAAATATTTCTAATAATAATAATAATAATGGTGGTACATGTATCATTAAAAGATCTTATAAACACTACTAGATAGCGCTCTCCACATTTCCAATATTTTACATGTTTATTAACAGATGCTTTGTACAGATTTTTAGGCCGGCCACCAGGAAATTAGGTTCAAACTTATACTTTCAATAATTAAGCCAAGCAAGCCAAAAACATGCTGGAATGTCAAATTTTTTGAAATCTACTTTAATGCACTAAACCAACCTTTATATATATCTATACATCATGCTGTGCTGCTATTTTTCCCATTTTCAATGTTAAAAGAATAATTTTTAATGAATTTGTAATGGTTTCTGCCCAAGAAATGCCTGAAATATAAAACTTGAAGGCTCATTTCACAAATATTGTTCTTTAAACAACTGTAGCTTTAAACACTTGTAACTTCATAAGGAGATGTTGGATTTTAATGATTCTTTCACCATTTCATAGCTTTTATTTTACTATTTAGCTCTGTACTAATAACTAGAAATCAATTTTTGCAAAGAGTGAGTGAAGTGGCTTGTCTTTGCCACAAATGGTTTCAACATTTCTGAATATAAAATTGCTTGCGTACTTGTAGGAAACATATTCAAAATAGAGGGGAGCGGTAGACTGAGCAATCAATGATGGAAACACATCAGCTAGGAGTATTGCACCCGTAGAAACTTTATTACAATCCTTGTAGTTGAGTGATCCAGATGTAGTGAGGTTGCTTGATGATATGGTTGACGCCCATGTGGTGGGTGGAGAAGTTGGAGAAACCTCGGAAAGGTAAAACAAGAAAGTATTAACACCAATATTAAATATTATAATCTTTCATATGAGCATTTCAAATCATCATATTCATCCTATTTATGGCAAAGTGGCAAATGTTTACATTGTATATGTTACAGAAAATCCAAGTCAGTTAATTTAAGGCTGCAATAGTGTATATTAGTGCATATTTTGTCTTTTACGTTAGCGCATTTTGTCACATGGCGATATGGTGAGTATTTAGGAAACCTCGCACTTTGCCACTTGGTATAAAATCTTGCGCACATTTACAAGTTTCAAATTTATATTCGAAAGCGCATTGTTGTTATTAATATAACGCATTGTTTAGAATCTAGAATTTAGTTAGCCGTGTTCATTTTGTGAGGAAACATAGTTTTTTAACCACATTCATCTTTCACAGAAAGGTTTAGTTGATAATATAATTCGAGGCCCCTGCACTGTAGAACTTGAATCGGTATGTATCTAGGCGGGAGGGGGAATGGAGCTAGAGCTTTCCCAAAAACAGGGACAAGAGAGGAGGAAGATGGGAGAGAGGAAAGAAAATGGTAGTGAAAGCCTTGCATGATACAAATATAAAAGTTGCAATTTGTGTACTCATTCATATTGATTTTATTTTACTGTCGAATATGCCCCACGCATCTTCCCCCCAGTGCCATGTCACATGGCTCCTACCCTAATTTTCTCTGTATCTGCCCTCATGAATAGAGTGAAGAAAGTGTCCACGTTTTTTGATACTTATGCTCAGTATCTACATTATAATGTCTAGTTTTGAAATACAACAAAATATTGTGTTTATATCAAACTATGTCCTAGATTAAAATTTGTGGTGTAATTGGACTGAAACATGAATAAAAATGGAACATGATTGGTTTATTTATATATGAGCTTCAATACCAGAGTTTCAATAGGAATGAGCCAGGCTATAGTTCAAATTTCAATGCTGGTACTTACAGTTGATGGAAGAGGCTTCTCAGAGAGTATGTCAAAAGCAGCAGACAACATAATACCATAACAGAAATTATTACACAAACCAAGAAAACTATAAAAAAGAAAACAATTTTTGTTAAGTTAATTATTATTGGACATCTAATAAAAAAAAAATAGAATACAAAATGGAACCGTCCATCAATAATTTATGCATAGTATTTAGAAAGAGGACCCATGTGACACAGCTGTAAAACATTGAGTTTTCAACCCAAAGATCAAGGGTTTATCAATGCCACAACAATGCTAAAACACTCGTAAAATACAGGAAGAAACATCAACATGATTTTTAAAAATTATGTTCTACATAATATTAATAAGCCAATGTTTAATATGCCAGCGCCGGCAAATATAGCAAAATAGTTATTTTGGCAGTCTATTTCTCTAATTGGCTATTGTAGAAAGTATGACGTCATCAAATTTCCAGTAGCAAGTTGTATGTTTTTGTTATTGTTTTTTATTATTTCAAGTTCAAATCTATTATCATGTCTAATGTTTTATTCGTCTGGCAATTTATCAAATTCTGTCCCCTTTTCAGGATTATTCAGATAACCACACATCAAACTTTGACCCTGACCTTCAGTTATTTTCATTGTTTTTACATTCTGGGTGACTTGAATATTGATATTCTTAAACACGCATCAAGTAATGATGCATGTTCTTTCGTCAATACTTTATTTAGCAATTATTTTCTTCTCCTAATTCACAATCCAACTCGAATCGCCAAATCTTCCGCCACTCTGCTTGACAACATCATTACTAAAAAGTTTGATTGTTCCAACATGAGTGGATTGTTCTGTGATGTCACTGATCACCTTCCCATCTTTAACATTTCGTATTTCACCCATGACGCTCCTAGCTCAAATAAGGAAGGATTCATTAGATTTAGAAATATTAACAAGCATTTCCCCTATTTAAATTCAACAAAAAGATTAAAATCTCAAATCTTGGATGCCTGATTCTCTCCTCAAGTCAATTAGATTTAAGCAAAAATTATATGCAAAATTCCTTCACTTTCATTCGGCTAAAGACAAATCCGAGTACAAAAAAAATCTGTATCAAATAAATTCCCAAAAGATGCGAAATCCAGATATTATAAAAAATACTTTTCTCAAACACAAAAATGACATCAGGGTCACTTGGAAAACTATTAATTCTCAAATAAATAAATCTTTTGAACATAAATCCAATATTTCCATTAATTGTATATATATGTATATAATTTTAATATATATATTCATATACATATGTATATAAATCATTATAGGTAAAATCTCTGTCTCTTATACACATCTATGTGTATAAGAGACAGGTGTTTGAATCAGGAAAATATCATTGGAGTGTGTTTTGCCCTATCTGACATGTTATCATACCGAATACTAAGTACGTCCCCAAAATGGCCAAAACGTGCCAAAATGTCAACAACAACACTTTTTAAGGACTTAAAGATAGTTTCTGCATGAGAAATGCCTGAAATCATAAACTTTAAAGGCTGGTTTCTCATATATTGTTCTTTAAACAGCTGTGTGGTTAAACGCTTGTAACTTCATAAGGAAATGTCCGATTTAAATGATTTTTTTACCATTTTATAGCTATTATTTTTCTCTCTAACACTGTATTAATAACACAAAATTGATTTTTGCAACAAGTGACTGGTTAGGCTTGTCTTTGCCACATATATATACATTCATTTAATATGATAAAAATCAGTGTTATTGTTCATATCGTTATTATCATTAGTTTTTATGTTATGCCTTTTTATTATGGTAATATTATTTTAATATTATTTTCATTAATGCTGGTTTTATTATTATAAATGAAAAAAGAGTAACAAGGGCAACGATTTAAAACACTTTAATTTTGGCATTGTTTGGCTTTGCATTCAATTTTCTTTTGGTAATTATTTCATAAACATACAGTAAAATTGGGACCGAGTTAACTGGGGGCCGAGTTGACTTGGGGCCGAGTTGACATGGGGCCCCGAGTTAATTTGGGGGAGAGTTTACTTGAAGCCGAGTTGACTAGGGCCTAGTTGACTTGGGGCCGAGTTGACCTGCTTCCGTCGTACTCTACTTACAAAAATGCGATCACATCTCGCTTATTTTTAGATGTCTGGATAACAGGAGTTGGGTTATCATCAATCAAGCGAGACTCATCAGGAGGCAAGTCTGATTCCAAATGGTCCATATCTTTATAAAATTCCTAAAAAAAACAGAGACAAATGAGTAAAGTAAAATCAGGAAGTGCATTTTATTCACGAATTATATAATAAGTCCTGACACTATTTTTTAATCATACAATTAACCCCAACCCTGACATATGAGTCGACTGTAGCCTGATTTAATTAATCCGTTGGCTAGCTAGGACTAGGCCCGGTGCATAAGCTGAGGGCCTTGTCATAGGACTCAGACCTAGGCCTAAACAAGGCCCCTCCCTACACTAGCCGAGGGCGAGGCTTAACTACACTACTACTACTACTACTACTAGGGCCTTATTAATTAAATTAGGCCTAGGCCTAGTAGTAGTAGATAGCCTAGGCCCGACCTACACCTTTTTCTCTCGTCTGGGCTCACAGCAATACAAAATTTTAAGTCATCAAATATTTTCAAGAACTTAATTCGCATACTTAGTATTATTGCAATCTTCGATGCCTTAGAGTTATATAAAAGCGTATTATAAAAACAAACTTGTCACAGGGTATGAAGCGATGTTGACCAGATGTTGACTGGATCGGAAGGTCAAAGGTTATAAATAGGGCCTAGATTTTGTTTTTTCTCACTACCAGGCACGCGACGATTTACTCGGTTTTTTGGTAAACATGACAACTGTATACACATGTATTGGACAGTGTGGCAACCAACTAGGACAACAGTTCTTTAAAACTGTTATTAATAATGGGGAACAAAGGTGATAATTATATTCCTAAGCCTAGGCCTACAATAATGAAATTGTAATAGTACTGTAATTCAAAGATATTTTTAGATAATCAGCTAGGCTACGACGACTCGCTGCGTGCCGACCGTTCCAACAGCTTCTATCGAGTTTTATTACCCTTTGTTGATGCATATCATGTAGGCCTAGCCTAACCCATTCAAAATCAGGGTGAATTGGTTCACGGCAGAAACGGTCCTAGGCCTACACCTCACTAAGTAACTAGACCTAGGCTATCCTAATGAAGGAAGGCTCGCTGAACCTACAAAATATACCTTCTTTAGACATTCAAATTTTTTCCCAGAGCTGCAAGTACTAACACCGCCTGACAAGGCTTTACCCGGGTTACATTCACAGTTACATCATATCATAATCTATGTTTCACAATCACTAGAGAGCCATACACTGTAAAGAAAGTGTTTAATTGCGCAGATGATAACTCAAAAACTAGCTCAAAATTCATGTGGAAAATCACTAGGAAAATAGGTGCGAAGAATCGTAACTACTGCATACATATTATATTGACATTAGATCAAAGTCTAATTTTCGGCAAAATCTGCTCTGAAATTTGCCCATATTTTGCGAAATATGCGGATGGATTTCTACTAGGCCTAGGCCTAATTTTTTTTGCCGAGAATATATTCCCCATGCGGGCCTTGCTTTACAGTCTGGCTAGGGAGTTTTAGGCTTAAGCTGAAGTTGAAACTTTTTTGTTGACCCTTTTTCTCCTGAACTATAATGTTAACGTAATAATAATTCATTATTTATTATCAACAAAATTTTAATTAACTATCTCATTAATTTCTATTATTTTATGAAGTTCATTTTATTATCTTGTCATGCTCGGTTTCATAGCCTGTATGATTACAATAATATTAAAGCTTTGTCATATAAGTTATGGTTTAGAGACTCATAGTTTCTATTTATAGGTCACCTTTTGTTTGTCGAGATGATAAGATTCGTTCATTGAATGTGGATAGCGAGACAAAAGTTTTAAGACATTTGACCAAGGATACGAAAAAAAGGTACAGTATTAGTACAAGATATGATGCATTAATTATTATTATTAAAAAAAAAACTGTGCATTTAGACCTCATTATATTTAGACACGATTATATTTAGTAAAATCTATCAAAAATATAATAAACCTGCCAAAAATCAATTGAAGATGTATTGTCCATCGAAAAAGTCAAAAAATCATTATTTTTAAATTAACTTGCTCATTTTGCAGTAACATAATATTAACTTGAGCATAGAAATTATTGAATTTAAAACATTAATGTGTACCCTGATTTTTATCAGTTTTTTTAAACGGGGGATAAGCTTCAACCTTGTGGGCCCTAGTGGCTCGGCAAGGATTTACTTTTACTGATTTTTATGCTGGGTAATGATAAAAATAATAAAAACATTTTTAGTGTTTCTATAATTTTTCTCTGTAAAATCATGGGTTCTTTAAATACACCAATTTCTATGTTCAAGTTGATAATTTTTATGTTACTTCAAAATGAGCAAGTTAATTTCAAAAAGGATTTTTATGATATTTTTGGAATTTTTTGTTGGGACAACAATACATCTTTAAAATATTGAATTTACATATATTTTTTATAGTTTTCTGTTGAAAATTTATGCAATGTTATTTTCCACTATCATGTAGTCTGCTAAGAGAAGATAATGTTGTTTGTGGAAGAAAAGGAAGAGGTGCAAATTGGGCATTTGGTAAGGTTCAATGATTTTAAGGTGGGGTTCTCACTGCACCTGATGTCATCAGCCAATGCGATTCTATCAAGAACGCAATTCCACGATATGTGCGCAACGAATCGTTTTAAATGACGATCCGTTCGTAATTGCCACCAACAATCAGCAGATAGCGTCACGTCACAGGGAGTGCAGTTGGATTCGTCGTACGACATTTATGCGACTCAGTGCCCGGCTTAAGTAATGTGGAACGGTTTCATTGTTTCAATATAAGTAAAGAATTAAGATAACAGAATAATGAGCTCTTGGCATTGTTTGCATTAAAATTTGATGGAACGCTCACCCTCCTACAAGCAAGGGACTGCTTGATTGATTGGCAGGGGTCCCAAGTTGTTCCAAGTCACATCTATGAGATCTGGTTAAATGAGCCTTCTAAACACATTTAATTTTATTGTGCTTCACACAGTGATACCCATCATCGGCAATGTTTTTCGTGAGACGATTGATAACAGAGTAGTAAAAACATTATGAATTTGCGGAAGATTGGTTATTTTCCGGGAGATTCTTGCTTGCTTGTGGGAGTGCAGGAGACTACTCCCAATTTCCGGGGAACCTCCAGCAACTTCCGGCAGACTTGTGACCCCTGCCTAATAAATTGGATTTAACATGTGTGATTTTGATAAACAATCATAGTTCTCTGTACTATCTATTAAACATTTAAAGAATGACTTCCTTATGCTGTGGTCATATTAGTAATATTTTTAAAGAAGTACCATTTAACAAACAACATAAAACCAAATTTCCACATCGGTGCAATGCATAAAACATATTATTTCCTGAAATCTGGATATAGAGCGTGCTTGCTTATGATTTAGGACAAAGAAAATATAAATGTATGGGTCTGAACTTTGTAGATGACAAAGTGTTTTTCCTTATGTTGTGGTTATATTAGAATATAATATCATTAAAAGATCATTCAACAAACAACAGGAAACATATGAAACTTTTAGGTTAAGCTTTCCACTTCCGAGCATGCATATACAGTAACCTAATTTTTTAGATATATGATATTTTCATGACTGTCAAGAATGTACTGATATTGTAGATAATTACTGTTGTCTGATTGTGTGCGTTGAAAATGTGACGAAGAACTCGGGATACGGTTGACACCCATATTAAAGGGCCTGTAAACTTGCCTTGCACAGAAGCCTGTCGTCACCTGCTACAATGCATCCTTTTCCTCCTTATCATCATCACATCATCATCGTCATCATCTTCATCATCGCAATTATTAATTGTCCATGGTAAAATGAGGGAAAGTTATGAATTCAGTGTGTATTCATTCATCAATAAATGTCTTGTAATGCACGTAAGTGCATTTCTTAGCATCTAGAAAACAAAATTTTCCTAAGTTAGGAGAACCCCAAGACTACCGCAAACCACCCCCTTCCCCTGCCTCACGTCTAAAGTAGTCTTCCAGTGACGGAACAAGCAAACATTACGTTCTCTTCCCATGACCCATGAAAAGATTTTTACATTTATTCATTTTTTTGAAAATATTTTTTACAGTATTTCCATTTGTACCCTGTTGTGATGGTTTCTGCATATAATTTATTTTTCCTTTTTCATACTGGTATATTAGTAACAATATTTTTATTATTGTCAAATGGCTTAACATATTAAGATGTGTTCAATAAATATTAGCCTTAATCTAAATTTCAACTATCATGCTGTAAATTGAGTTCTGAATAGTTGTGAATTATTGCTTACGGTTGGGAACATACCTAATAGGGCTTATCCAATACCAAACTTTAATCTAATCCCATTATTATTGTTTGTTTTTAGCTTATACTATAAAATTGACACTTTTTATGATGGATTATTTACAGCTATGATCAGTGTTGCTTTGCTAATTTCTAGGTTACCATGGATTGCGAAATGATGAGGAGAAGCTGCTTGACTCTTGCTTGGACGCTTTCAGGAAAGAGGTTGAAAGATGCGACTGTTATAATGGTACCGTCATGATGCATAGCCTGTGTGGGGGTACAGGCTCAGGTGAGGACAATTAATGCATTTAATTCAATTAATTATTCATATTTATTTCAATTATAGCAAAAAAATTTGCAGGAGCAGATTCTGAAGTTGTGTTTACATTGAATTAAGTTTGAAAAATGAAAGGTGACTTAACCTTTGTTAAATTGTACTTCTCACAGTTGGACTAATATACGCAGCAAGCCTGTAGGCATGGTTCTTAAAGTGGGTGGGGGTTTTAATATTTCACCAAAAGGTACTACGAGTCCACACTCGCCACCTCAGTCCCACCAATGAAGGGGAAAAGTTTCAGGATAATACAGGGGTCCCAAATTAGTTTCAGGATAATACAGGGTTCCCAAATTATGGAAAATAAGAGTTAAACAAATTTTTTCGATTTAATTTGATAGTATGTGATACGACATCATCGTACCCATATATGGGCACATCACATTTTTTTGTCACTTAAAATTTGATAGTGTAGACAAAGCTATACACATCACAATTTAATGCATGCTGATAATTAAGTTTGATATTTATGCTTACTTCAAATGACTAAATTTACTACTGTTTCGCTATAATAGTGTAAAGATAACATTTGGTGGTGGAGGCATTTGATCAAGATAATTTTCATGGTTGGGAGGCACAAAAATATTTTTTTCCGGGCCTGCTGCTTGGATAAGGAGAATATTACACATTTTTTATGCCTAAATATATACATGGTAAAGCCCTGTCCAGACTATCAAATTTCATTTGACAAAAACATGTGACATGCCTAAATATGGTCATAATAACATCACATCATGACCTTATATAGGCACATCATGACTATATATGGGCATACAACTGTTTTTGGTCAAAGAAAATTTGATACTCAGGACAGGGCCTTATTTTGTTTAGTTTGACTTAAAATTGCTTTCTTAGGTTTTGGGTCTCGTTTGTGTGAAGCCATCCGTGATGATTATCCAATGGCATACATTCAGTCTGTTGTTGTTGCCCCGTTCCAAACTGGAGAAAGCCCTCTACAAAACTACAATGCAACACTGTGTATGGCTTGGCTGCAAAGGTTTGTTAAACAATACATTAATTTTTAAAATGTGTCTGTTCTCTATGTTTGAATTTGCAATTGGTCATGTAGGAGCTGGTAGTGGTTCAATTCAATTCATTTATTCGCCTCAACAGATTACAATATGAACACACCAAAAAAAACAGACAAAAGGAGGCAGACTTCCCAAAAAGAGATTCAAATCTCTATCGAGTGGGTCGCCAAACACAATAAAAATATAAGATATAAGAGATAAAAATTTCATATAAAAATACAAAACATTTTTCAATAATAAAAATAAAAAGGATAAAATACTCTATAAAACGATTAAAAATTTTCAAATTTCACAATAATAAAAAAAATAAAAGTTATTGTCTAAATCTACCAGCCTTACGTCTCCCAAAAATGCTCTTTAAGTTTATTTAAAAAGGGCCTGATACCAAACAAAAGCATGTCTCTGGCCTCTTTGGGTAAACTATCCCATGTACAAGGAAAGGGATTAAAAACAGAAAAATTAAACGAATTAGTACGAGAATAAGTATGAACAAACTTAAGATTAAACGAGTGTCTGGGGTTGATAGTAATGTATTTAAAGATATCGAAGGAAAATATACCATAGAGAGATTTGGAAATGAAAGAGAAACAGAGAAATTTAAATCGATTTTCAACAGAAGTGAGACGGAGGATTTTAAGTCTTTGTACATAGGATAGTTCACCCCTTTTGGGTTGTGAAACATGCTCTGGTCATTCTTAGTTGGATCTGTAGGTGACCCTTCTGGTGTGGATACCAAGCCGGAACTGCATATTCCATACTTGGCCTGCTGATACCGTTATACAGTTTGGTGATGACAATAATGATAATATGTAGGTGTCGTTAATTGCCACATCCATATTGATCCCTCTAAAGCACGTGGTAATTTCAACATCCTGAATTATATGACTATAGCTACTTTTGTGTATAGCAGATATTCCTGCAAATGGCTACAGCCACTTTATACCTAATTTAATCAGAAACATTATTTTTCTCATAGGTATTCGGATAGTGTATTCTTGTACTATAATGAAGAGATGCTGCATCGCCTCTCAGGGTTAAATGTCTCGAAGCAGGTCCGAGACGAGGCAAAGGTCACGATAAACGACATCAATCAACACATTGCTGAGAGTCTGGCTGGATTATACAAGCCCGTTATGTCAACTGGGTGAGTTGAAATATTTATTAAGGTGAGGGCCCTCGGGAACTTTTTTTCATGCAATAATGCCTTTGTATGATACTTTCTATCTAGTATATGATATGCAAGTATACTAATTGCTTATTATGCTACTATAACTATGGAAATATAAAAGATGTAAAAAAATTATAAAATAATTTAGGTTAAGGTAAGCTAGGGGTAAGGTAGCTTGCGGTGAGTTGAGATATTTATTAAGTTAAGTCCTTCAGTAACATTTTTTCATGCATTAATGCCTTTGTATGATACTTTCTATCTAGTATCTGATATACAACTATACTAATTGCTTACGATGCTACTATAACTATGGCAATATAAACAATTTTTTTAATAGTTTGGGGTGAGTTGAGGTATTTATTAAGGTAGGGCCCTCAGTAACTTTCTTCATGCATTAATGCCTTTATATGATACTTTCTATCTAGTATATATGATATGTCACTATACTAATTGACTGCTATGCTACCATAACTATAGCAATATAAACATTTATTTTATTATTTAAAAGACTATTTAGCTTAAGAAAAGTAATATTTTGTACCACAAATAATCTATAATAAATTTTTGAATAATCTTGAATATTTAATTAGGTTGATATTTATAATTTCAAAAACTTTAGATGTGGAATAAACGTGTGACATTAAATTAAACAGTGTAAATGTTTGTGTTTGTAGGACATGCATATATTCTTGGCTAAGTTCTTATTAGTATATTTTTATGTTTGATAGTGGGAAATTTTTGCTGTACTGCCCTCTATCATAAAGTTTTTTTTCAATCTGATAAACTGTAGTATAATCTGGTGTATTATTGATGAGTTTAATCCATACAAAGTATATCTGTCAATTACATTATTGAAGCTAAAATCCTTTATGTATGTCAATTGTCATATAATTAGTGTTAGTTTATGGGAATTCAAGCAGAGCAGTATCGTGGTAATGGTGTTGTTTTTATTATTCATATTATAATACTATGGTTCAAAAAGATATTAAAATAAGAAACATAATATCTATAATACAACAGTCAATCAATCAGTATCATAAAGTTTGTCAATTGGTAATGTTTTGACTATCATTATTATTATAATTATCAATATACATTATATATCAATCATAAAGAGAATTATCACTACTATTATCAATACCATCATCATCATCCTCATCATAGTATATAGAAGTAGCATAATGACAAGCATAATTATCATCATTATCGTAATCATCATTATTATTGTCATCATCATCAACATCACCACCATCATCACAACCTGCAGCATCTCTATTATTTTGGGCAAGTCGAGTGGCCCAGCGGTAAGGCAGGGGTGCTGCTAACAACAGCCTTAACATTAGCACTGGCTCCAGCCACTACTTGTCCAGGGCTCGGTTGGCAGAACCAAGTCTTCTTGGATAAGGACTTAAAATGGAGGTCCAGTGTATGCATCTGGCTAGTGTACACTTTAAAGAACCCATTGCATCTTTCGATGTCATGGTTCATTTCAGCCCTTGTCGTTATAATGTGAAAATGTAGCTACTAAGTGCCTCTTTACGGCTGCCAGGCAGTCACGGACCACGCCAATACGCAATTCACCACAATGACCCTGCAAGTTATGGGTTATTCTCCTGCCTTTGCCCTGCCTTTATTATCATTATTATCACCATCATGATCACCATCATTAATTGTTAGTAATTCTTTTCTAAAAGTATACCTTCCTTTAATTCCAGGGGAGTATCTAATGGGAATGAACCATGGGAAGTGCTGCAATCCGTTTGTCCAATGCCATCACATAAGTTTGCACATGTGATACACACAAGTCAAAGGTTAGTAATAAACATAAAGTCAGGGGTTCGAACCTTGCTTTGTGAATTTTGCTTTTGTAGTTGTCCAACACGTCTGCAATTGTCTCTCTTAATTGCAGAGTATAGATGGGTTTTATCTCCATACAATTAAAATGTGAAAATGTTCTGTGGCTAGCTATGTGTTCAAATGGTGTATTGTTCATGTGTGAAGTGAAGAAGCTTCCAACTAGAAGCCTACTGGTAAAAATCTATGCTTTAAAACTGAATTATGTTTTATGTTGAAAAGTATTTTACTTATTATTATTATATATATATTCTAGTTTGTAGACCCACAATACAACAAAAATATATTTCCAAAAAAGTCAAATCAAGAGGCCTAAAGATAAGCTGTAACATTTTTTTTATTTATAACAGATGGTTGTAGACAAGGAGTCAATGTGTGTTAAATTTTAATTTGTTTTTGTAATTACTTTGCTGCTGCATGCAGTTCATTTAGATATTTATGATTTTCTTTGTGTGTTTTGGTATTTGGTTTGTATTATAAGAACTCACTAGAAAGGTAGTTATGTTGAATTTTGTGTATTGTCTAAGCACTTTACTGAATAAATTCAGTGCAACAGAATATTGGTTTTTATTGTTATTCATCTAAGTCAGTTTTTTTGTATTAAGGCGATGTTTTTTTATACCTTGTTTCGCGAAATTATTTTTTATCGTCAGAGGAGGGTGGAAAAAATAAAAATTGAATTGTTGAATATAAACAATGACAGTAGTATGAGATGGTTAAATGCTTTTAATTTCTATTATTAGGAAGAAATTTAAATATCTTATCTTTGGAGATTTCAAGGCAGCGGCGGACAGTATAAAAATAAATAAAAAGTTTAATTTTTTTCATAAACTTCAATTTTTTGCAGTGGAGGGTGCGCTAATTGGCCAAAAATAAATTTGTTTTTATTCAAAATAAGCATTATTTGAGGGCAGCGGTGTCGTTAAACCAGATATATAAAAAGTCTCGCCTAAAGACCAGTGGCAAATCTAAGCATATTAAAATGTGGGGTGAGGGAGGCCTAGATGATTAAATCGCAAAATAAGGTGATATGAAGTGATTTTTTACTACTTAAGCGAAGAGTAATTTCTAGCGGGGGACAACTTTCCTTGGGGGGTGGGGGAAAGTGCACACCCCATAGATACACCATTAACAAAAAAACCCTTAAAATCAACTCTCTAAAATGGAGAGTTGCTTGGGTTATTCTCTCTAAAAATTGTAGAAATAAATAGAAAATCAGTCCTTTAAATTATAACCATTCAGGGATCATTCGTTTTACTAATGTTTTCTGTAGGTAACATCAAGTCCTTTGATCAAAACTGTTTTTGTAGACATGAAGCCAGGTCGTATTGCCTCAAGAAAAGATTAACTGCATTTATAGATAAAGGATTTTTCATTTTAATTTCATCTATCTAATTGCTTGTCCTGAATAATATTATGTTCTACAATCCTATTTTATGATCTTTCATAATAATAGTTTAAAACCCTCCATCTGTTATTTTAAGTCGGGCACTCACCGTGCCTGATTGTCGTCAGCCGACACACAGCGTTGCGTTATCTAACGCTCACAGTGAGTGGGCTTGGATTCATCATCCGATGGTCATACGAATGTAGTACAACACAGTGAATGCCCCGCTGAAGATCTCGGACCCGTCAATCCTTTAAATGACAGGATTCAGAATGCGATTAAACACTAAATATTTTAACTACTACCCTTCACACTTCGTTATTGTTATCTTGAATTAAGTTGGATGTGAGGGTGTAGAAGTCAGTTCTACATTTGACATTTAGTTTCTCTGCATCTTAAATTCTGCACGCAACACAATTCTGTCTGAATGCTTTTTAAATGTCAACTAAAGTGTTCCAGATAACGAATGTTTTCAATAAGCCCTTAGACATAATGTTACATTAGCGGTTGAAAGAAAGACTTTAAATTAAAGGATACTTTTCGAAGTTCTAAAATCTGGATTACATGATAAATGTTGAGGGATCATTCGTTACTAATGTTTTCTATAGGTAATATCAAGTCATGTGACCCAAACAAAAGTGAAGAATGTTTTTTTGGACATGATGAAGCCAGGTCCTATTGCTTAAAGAAGATAATTAACTTCATTTATAAACTAGAGCAGTCACTCCACTCTTCTGCCCTGTGCCTGAATACCGAACAATACGCAGTCCATGTGGGTGATTTTATTATTTTCTTTTATGCTGGAGAGTAAAAAATTAATTTCCTTGACCTTGTCCTGGACTTTTCTTCCCAAAATTTAATCATCTCTTTCTTAAATTATTAATTACCCAGTGGCTGCTCCAGGATATAAGGGGGGATAAACTGTCCAACGGGGGGACTTGAGCTCGTAGGCCCGAGCTGGGAGAAGGGTTTGAAAGGGGTCCCTCTCCCAAATGGGATTTTTTTAAGAATGGGAACCTCTGGACGGTTGGAAATGGCACTCTCAGGCTGTGACAGCATGTGTTGGCTTGGTGTGGGCCTATTTTTTAATTTTTTTATGGTCTGATTGCCCGACGAGCTCTGTCCGACGGGGGGGGGGACCTGTCCGGTGGGGGGGCCTTGACCTGTCCGGTGGGAGAGGGGTGAAGTACCCCTGCCCCTGCTGGCACCATCACTGTATGTACCATTCCACTAAATTTTATGATGATCCATTCCTTATTCTTGCTAACAGAAAGACAGACAACGCGACAGACAGACAGCACGGCAGACTGACAGACGGGGTGAATACATAACCTCCTTGGTAATAAAGGATCTTTCATTTTTTCATATCTTCTTTGTCCTGAATATCATCATTATTATACTAATCCTATTTTTATGATCTTTCATAATAATAATCTAAAACCCTATATGTTCTGTTTTGTATTTAGATCTCAGGGCATTAATTGCTATAATGGTGGCATTGATTTTTCCAGGTGAACAATAGATTATCCCGTGATTGAATGTATCATCTTTTTAACATGATCTCTTTGTTAGTCTCACTCAGTGTTTCATTTAAATATGTACTGGTATATATAGTATTACTATAGTTAGAGGGCTGTCTCTCTCTCTCAGATAATGTAATATTCATGTATTAACATCACTCATACAATACATTCTAATGATCAGAAAACACATGATAGACATCCCAGATAGACATTTCAGTATGTTTATATTTGTATCATGTATAGAATGATACCGAGAGAAATTGTTCTAAGCTCACAAAGGAGTCCCTTTAACTTGTATAGTTTAGGTAGAATTTCTTCTTTATTGCCTCTAATGCACTAATCTGTATTCCTGTTGTATTCGATAATAATATTTACATTAAAGTTATCGTACAAATTTTGAATGTGCCGTAATCATGTTGCTTTCATGTAAAATGTTATTGTTCGCATTACTTTTAACATTAAACATGAACCAAATCTTTCAGTCAGAATATAGACAAATGCATCATTATTTAAACGGGTTCATTTGAATTCATGTAAAGTTTTATTGTTTGTTTTACTTACGTGCATAAACATTAATGAACCAAATCTTTCCATGAGCGTTCTATAATTAGCCTTAATTTAGACAAGTTCATCACGATTTTAGTCTTTTGAGGAAATGTACTTTAAACTGGCTCAGATATTGAGATAAAATTATTTAATTATGAGCCCATATTTAATCCTTCTTGCATGTTGAAAATATCCTGATCTGTTTGTTTTTTGATTGGCTGTAATGCAGAACTAGTCGCATATATTATGCCTTGCTTGATGATCAACAGCGTAGATCCATGGTTGAAAGTGGGGTAGGGGGTAGGGGATGAACTGCAAAATAAGGAAGTCTTGGGCTGTAGGCCTAAGCCTTGGGTGATAGCCAGGGGGCCGCCTCCGGAGCCCCGGTGGAGGTACATGGCAACTAAAGCCTTTTATAGAGTCGTATCTAATTATTACAATACAATTTATTTATTTCCACACTACATTTTCAAAGTACAGTGGCAAATCAAAGAATTTGAAATAGGCCCAGGTAGGGAGTTTTACAGATGGAGTGTGCCACCTTGGCCCCACCATGGTTGGGGCTGAGGTAAGAAAATTTATGATTATGGCACCTCTAGTTGGCTGGAAATTTTCTCTTTTCTCCACTTTAAAATTTTGAAAAAAATAGAGAGACTGCCCTGGATAGGCCCCCTTTAGTCTGCCACTGAAATATTCATCGTAAAAATTTTTCAATTTATCCTGGTAATCATAGTTTTGCCCGCTTATATATTTTGTGAAACATTCATAAAAATAATTATTTATTGTCTACTGGTTAGCTTCTGACGTATTCGAACCATAAAAAGCAAATAAGATAAACTATAAAACAGTCACTTTGAATTTCCCTTTTGCGAAAGTAGTATTGAGACTACACTATTTTGAGTGAAACTAAATACTATCGTTTAATTTATTGTGAAACAGGACTAGGGAGATAGGAAGCACACATAACATTATTTAGCATTTTTATTTCACAAACATAAAGATGATACTTAATTTAATCATTATCTTGACGTCATGTAGTGGTTTATGTAGAACCGTTTGGGCGCAACGATTGTGGCTTGGACTCCCAACCTTGAGCCTTTGATCATTCAAATTGGAATTGGCGCATTATAAATGTTTGGGTATTATTATTATTATTATTATTATTATGGTGAGATTGCGTCAACGTAACATCGCCAGGCCATTTTTTAATATTGTAGTATATTAGGCCACTGCCAGCTCCCCCACCCCCGATATCGTTTGAGTCATAAAAACTCACTCCCCCTGAATCGTTCAAGTTAACCACCACAAAAATTTGACCCAACCATATATTTTCTGATAAATTCATGTAGCATGCACAGGAATGTCTGCGCCTGCAAGGCTCTGGTTTGAAATTAGGAAAAACAGGAATCTATCTATGCAGATAATTTTCAACACTAGTATATACGAGTCTGAATAATTATACAAAAGGAATAAATCGTTTATAGTAGAAATTGTGCAATTT